AAACAAACAAACAAACAAACAAACAAACAAACAAACAAACAAACAAACAAACAAACAAACAAACAAACATGAGACATATAACTAACCAACAAACAAATTTACTGCAAATGACATAAATTATTAGTTAAGCTAGTTGAAGAACTAACAAACTAACACATGAACACACAAACTAACCGACTTTCTTATTTATTTATTTATTTATTTACCAACAAACAAACAAACAAACAAACAAACAAACAAACAAACAAACAAACAAACAAACAAACAAACAAACAAACAAACAAACAAACAAACAAACAAACAAACAAACAAACAAACAAACAAACAAACAAATACACATACAAAGTGTAACTATATACTTTATTTAACTACTGTAGCTATAATTAAGATAAACACTGATTAACATCTTCCAGTAACCACACTGAAACACAATTATAATGAAGCATGCACGTTATATTTAAAATACTGTATATTTTGCCTTATTAAAAATTACATATATTCAGGCAGTGAGGCTAACATGTTGCATGGTCCATGCAACACTGATCATCCAATATTTTTGCAAACTCGTGATAGACGTCACTTATAGAGTTATACACAGTCCGGTATCATGCATGGGACAATTCATTGAAAAATATGACTGTAAACAGCAGCGTAGAAAGTTCAGTTTGTTTGGGTTTTTTTCGGGGGGGAGGGGGGGGGGGAGAATTATGGTTGTCAATATAGTACCATTTTACCCGATTTGGAGTGCTTTCTCGTAAAACATAAAACATTGTGTCACTTGTGCGATATACAGTAAATTAAAAAGGCTTTACCCGTTCTTGTCAGAAACACACATTTCAATTTCCCGAGACACATTTTCTATGCCGCCTACACTGCCGAGAATTGCACATATGCAATCAAAACTATGTCAACAATTCTTGAAGGTTGAAGAAGGGATGCTGTCACATATGATGAATTATGTGCTTAGATCGATTTCAAAATGTTTACCAGTGGGGCAAAAATGATCTTAATTGAATCTCCCTATGTGAGTGTCCTTTTGAAGCGACATGTATAGCCCACGTCTTCTAATGACTGATGTTATTGCACTGCATGAGGTGACCCGAGTTTACTTTTCCAGCTGTTAAATTAAACACTGTTTTCATGCGGGTAATGTTGAAATGAAACAGTAAAAATCTTGTTACAAAATACCGAAAAATGAGCAACTTTTTGACAAAAGAACATTCGGCACTCGAAACGGCGATTCGGTGAAGTGATAAGATTGAAGAATGAAGTTTTCAAACTGATCTTTTTCTGATATATAGTTTCACGGCAGTTTATTACAAATTCTTCAAAACGTGCAATTTACCAATGCAAAATTCCTGCTGTGATCACAGAAACTTTGATAGTGTAAGTCATGCAGTCTTTATGATGGCTGTTATTTTTTTAAAAGTCGAAATTAACTGTGCATGCGGTTGGTTTGAAAGGCTTGTTTAATATTATCAAAGTTTCTGTGATCACAGTAGGAATTTTGCATGGGTAAAGTTTTGAAGGATTTGTAAGAAATGTTTGAGGGAATCAAGTTAGTGTTAAACAGTGAGCCTCAGCTCCATCAAACATTTCTTACACTAAATTATCCTTTAAAACTTAGAATTCACTGACCTACAAGCAAAATTCCCACTGACCACACTGTGATCACATGTAGAAACTTCGACAGTGTACACCAGACTTAATTCTTAATTTAACTAAATATGATTGGTAAGAAGTTCTAATAGTCTTCTTATATTTGCAAATATCATTTAAAATGTTAATTAAAAGGAGTATATGAGCATTATTCTTCACTTAAAATCTCCCTAAAGCAAAGTTGAATTCTGCTGTGTGAGGAGGATACATATTAGAGACCTTACGATTTTAGGACGGAAACGCGACGGCAACGGCTACCAATACAATAGATCATTGAAAAGAATGGAATTATTACAAAACATGAATAATTTAGGCATTGTCCTCGCTCTGTTTACAACGCCAGATCACAGATTTTCACGTGTTGATACAACGGCTGCATTCCAAGCCACAACAAGTGCAATTTCAAACTGGGTTTAGCAGAACTCTTCCCAACCATAAAACCCATCTCTTCAACTTCTAAGACTGTATTAAATGCATACGATTGATAATATACGACGAACTATATTTACTACCATTTATTTGAAGGAGTTTGTTTTGGCCGTCGCCTTCCTAAAATCGGTAAGGTCTCTAATAACCACACGATGCAACCACAAGGAAAGTCGACATGAAAGCAGACGAATTTGGACAAGCCTGCTTGTTTATCCTCTTGTGGGGTGATTGCTGAAACTTTGGACTCATAAGAATGATCCGTCATGCATGGCAAAAACGCTGGGAACTAGACGTAGTTATTGTATACGAATTGCGAAATGGTGTACTACATGCATGGGGTTAACTTGTTTAAGAATAACATTTCCTATTGAGATTTTGCCATGCAGTGTAATGTTTGTTGTAGTTACCGTTCGCGTCCGGGAAGTCGACCTGCATAACTTGTCTACAGCTGTCGGAAGCACCATTTTTCAATCGCTGTAAAAGTGCTTTAAAACTCTTATTATTAGCATGACAAAATTACTGGATGCTGATTGGTTGGGAGGAGTACAATTATTTCATTAATTGTACTGACTGCAGTACACTTAATGATTTTCCCAAAACAAACAAAATGGCGGAAAGGTATAATTTAAACACAAATTCAATTGCCCTAGAGAAACTTAAAGCAAAAGAAGTTAAAGAACTAAATGAAAATACGAACAAAAGCACCAAATTTTGGTTAAAAGTCTGGCAGGACTGGGCTTTGGCGAGAATTTTGTCATGCTAATAATAAACAAGTACGGTGGCTCGTCCAATTTTGGCAAAATTTCCAAACATCACTCGCACTATTAATCTCTAATTGTACGAGCAACATCGTATGATTACCTATTAAATTAAATATACTAATACTACGGATATTTATTACAATTTTCGGAATAAAAGGAAACTTTTCAGTTGTTTCGTATGGATAATCTACTGTTTACGCATATGTGACTCAAGTGGTTCCTATACTGAAAGCCAGTGTCTTCTTTATATAGGAGTGATTCAGCAAGCAGGATGACGTCATCGGTCTACAAGGTGAACAGCTATGACTCTGGTAGCTTAATAGATATCGTCATTTCTATTCAAAGGATGGTGATTCATGATGATATGTTATACGCTACCAAGCAACGTCCCAACGGTCTTAATGGATGACCAAATTAAATTTGATGGTAAACCAAAGTTTACGATAGCAAGTTGACATCATTTTGGATTGTGACTGCTCCGATCTATTCCCATTTTTACTGCATTAGCGAATGATATTTGTCAATAACTTTCCATTGAGCATAACGAACATACTTACAGCAATTACCTGATTTTATCTGAATCCACAGACGTGATCCGTTTTCCTGTAATAATTCCGCATTCATTTCTGCATAAAATGTCTGGCGTTGCACTGAAATCAGATGGAATTGTAATTATATAAGTTGAACCATTGTATATTCGAAAGTAAACAAAAGGCGGGGCGGACTTTTTAGAATTTTAGAAACGAATAAAAGTTAAACGATAAGAAATGATTTGTCTGAAAGAAAACCATTCAATCAATTGATTGATTTGGTAAATAAATTATCCTAGACCTAGTCGTTTAGGCGGACAGGAAACAGCTGATATTGTAATGGCCTCAATGTGAGAGCCTCGCATAAGTCATAAGCTAACTTAATATATACTGGGTAGCTCTATTAGTGTTCAGATAATTGTTCTTTCTAGAGGTCCAGTAAAGACTATCCGGCTTTGGTCTAGTGTTGCTACAGGAGGAAACCTAAATTAGTTTTATTTATTTTATTCTGGATAGTTCTATCGGTTCTAAACAGTTCTTCCCCGCAAAGGTCTAGTAAGCATCTTCTTGATCCAGTGTTACTACAGGAGGAAACATTATCTAAACTAACTCTATTTATAATGGATATAAACTCTATCAGTTCTGAACTGGTCTCCCTAGAGGTCCATAAGGATCACCTCCAGTGTTACTACAGAAGGAAACCTTATCTAAACTAACTTTATTTATACTGGAATGATCCAGTATTACTACAGAAGGAAATCTGAACTAATCTTGTACTGGATAGCTCTCAATCATGCAGTTCTAAACTGTTCTGACTTATGGAGGTTGATCTAGTGTTACTGAAGAAGGAAACCTGAACTAAACTTACTTAATGGATAGCTATATCAGTTGTATAAGTGAATTGGTCCAGGAAACCGCAGAGTAACATGTGTGATACAATCAGATAACTAAGATAACTCCATATTGCAGGGATTGAGCTTCTGCCACATAGGTGAAAGGTGTATGCATTAATCACTGTGGTCTGTGCGACCAAGCCTCCGCAATACGTCAATTGGTTCGATTAATAACGCCCCTAGTTTCCCCTGTATCGTTAAGATAATTAATTAATTTTACTGCCGTAACAATTGTTAATTCATCAATAGCTTGTACGGTTTTGTACGGCAGCCAAGAACTTCCTTAGGATTGAAAAATTACGGTTAATTATAAGCTTCAATTGCCAATAGTCTTCAACAGCAGATTTTTTGGATTTTTGCGTGTGTACGTTTGTGCCAGTTTAAACCATAATTCGAATATCTTCACGCGTCAGCTTATTAATTGGAAGTGACTGTTTTGCCAAAATCTGGTTCGAGTCACAGAGAGTTCTTTGCAGATCTATTTGTATAATTTCATTAATCATGAGAAAACAAAAAAAATCATGAATATAAGGGACTTGTATATCTGATATTTTTCACGTTAAATCTTAAACTATATACAGCAATCAGCATTGGCTTCCGCGATGTTATATAAAGTGTCAGTACAACCACTTGCCTTCGGCTCGTGTCGTATCTGTGGGCCATATACAATATGGCCGCTCATGTTATATGTTTTACTTTCAATAGTTCGGAATAATATTTATATAGTAACACAACCAGATAATCATGTTCATTTCCAGCACTATAGTATAAAAATACATGCGTCAGCCGCACATGATATGTTTTCGTTTACGGAACTGCTTGCTTTTGCATGTTCTAAAATCCAAAGTGAAGAGGCTTCGGCTTTGTTTTTTAAAAACACAATGTTTTATTTATTTTTCAAAGCTTTTGTAGTTTTGATCAGTCACGCCGGATACTCTTTATTCCACTTCACAAGCATCGATCAAGATCCGGAATTTGGCAAAAAAATACATATATTGTCGTTTGGAAAAATAAAGCAGCTTATTATGCTTATATATGACGTTGTACGCCCTGATTTGAAAGTTGCAAAAAATACTCTGACGAGTTCAGGTATAGCTCGCAAGAATTGATGTTAACACTTGACAGCACGGTGGCTCTATGAAGTATAGCTATGGTGCCTCAGTTTCACCTCTGACACTCTGTGACCGCGTGGTCCAATTTCTGCAATATACAATTCCCTAGTTTGACTTTACCAAACATAACAGATTTTCTCTCGGCAGTCCAGTTTCCGCCTGTAGTATCACTAGACAAATAAGTAATGGTCCTTAAAAGACCTCCAGGAAGAATCGTTTACGGCAAACTGACAGAGAGCTTTCCAATATATTAAGTAAACTCATAGTTTGTTTAGCCCGTTTCCTTTTGAAGAAACATTGGACGAATAAGGGATGGCTCTTACTGGACCTCCAAGAAGAACAGTTTATCAGATGAAACTGATATAGCTAACAATTAAGGCAGTATAACTGCAATAACAGTATAGTTTAGGTTTCCTTCTGCAGCGGTATAACACTGGATCAATAAGGGATGCCTTTCTGGACCTCTAGGGAGAACAGTTTAGAACCAATAAAATAAAAATAATATTAATAAAAAATATAATTAATTAACAACATATAATTCACAGTCAGAATAATGGGCAAATCGCGTTATAAGTTGCTTAAGTTTTGGGTAATTAAATTAAGAGGAAAAATTAGAAACTTACATCTGCCATATACCGCAGAGAATGCCTATGTCGTAACTCGTAACTCAACAGTATATTCACCTACACAAAATCCCCCCTATAACCGTACAGAGAATAAGTTCAACAAGCAATTCTAAACTGATCCTTTAGTCGGCTTTTATGAATGAATAGATTTGCTATAAACGATTTCCCGGCTTGATAGAGTATAACATATTTCTAAAGTGCTCTCCGCAGGTGTTAAACAGAGCTTGCAGGCTATTTCAGGAATTCGAAACACGCAAAAATTGCACAGCGAAATAATGACAGTATAAGGTCAAGATTTATATGTATTACACCGGCTCAACCACCTGCCAGCCAATGATTGGCTATTGTCAGTAGGTTCATATAACCACGCACAAGTGACGAATTCTCATTAGTTTTCACTGGGAGGCGAGCGCAGTAGAGGTACTCAACAATAAAGATATTTCTCAAAGGTCGAGTGTCGGAGACTGAATATAATTCGTTACAAATTGATACATTACAAAGAGATTCATCGCAAAGCTGTCGAAGATGTATTTCAAGTCGAATAGTTTTGGATTCGTTGTTTGCGTTCTCGTTTTAATGGGAAGCGGATGCGCAGCAAGATGGTCAAACAGACAAGGTACGCGCATGTTTAATCTGCTTTAGATAACTTCACAAACTTTTGAACGAAGTATTTCCTTCATTAGCTGTACGTCTACGGCTCAATTTTAACCCGTTACGAATCTAACAATGTTTTCGTAAACAGTGTCATTAATGTTGCAATTTGCTATTGTTTCAAATTATAAAAACATATCACATAGACTCCAGCCTGCTGCGAGTTGGATACGTAAAATTCGTATTGCGTTTTCGATTTTCAACTTTTCAACAACGTTCTATAATAGGGATATTACGCGACGTTTAAAAACATTGTAAAATGCGTACCGGGTTGCCCCGAGTGCGTGAGACAGTTTCAGAGGTTGATTGATTCGTGTCATTCGTTAATTAGCGATAGCCAATCACAGGTAATGAGCTTTTTCAACTCCTGTTAACGTTAATTAAACTCCAGAGTTACAATTTCAAGTGTAATAAATTGAAGCGCCATGTTCGCATTTAATTAACGTGCTTCAGGAAAGTTCTGGCTAACCACAAGTGGGCAAACTTAACACATCAATGCGTACGTACCCTATAATTTCAATACTTAAGAAGATTAAGAACTAGACAAAGAATAATCGTCGTTAATTTTCAATGTCGTAAAACGGCTTCGCCCAGCCCACTCGCACTGAATAATGGGATCACTGAATGTGAGCTCGTTTCTTTGAAATGGAGATTTAAACATCAATTTATCAATGTGTGACAAAAAAGAAGTTTGACAGTTGTTAATTTGCTTTGCAATTCTCCAGGCATAAGATTACAGGATAGGCCAGAGGGCCTATTTTCGCAGCCTCTCCAATTAATTTGTACTCAAAGTTTTCATCCTACATATACTCCGCGTAGCTTTTTGACATAAACTAAAATTGGGATTTCAAATCAGGCTCAAAAAGTCAAAAGGATACTCTATAAATTTCAGACTTATTTTTTATCATTTTTCAAGTCGTCTTTCATAGGACATTATTTTTACAACTTGTCATGGGGAGCGATGATGTTTCGCATTTTATGCTTACATTGCATGCGCGGTTCAGATAATTTGTGGGAAAACTGCCATGTTTTTTGAAGCAGCTCTTGAAAAACTTCAACATTTGTGAACAGAACTTTTCAACGCCTATATATAATATAGATAAATATATTCGAGAACCTCAGCTCAGTATATTTTTTTATATGCAACTATTTATATGCTGCCTATATTATAGCTCTTGAGTGCTTTTAGACTTTTATATAGTCTATCTTTAGCATTTCTGAACCTGAGAAATTTTCAACAATGAAAGACCACTCGAGGCTATATATATTTGCTTGACCTTCCGAGGTTAGCCATAGCTCTTGAAGAATAAGTGTTTTAGTCATATACAACTTAGTCACTGTGACATAATATCTTTTTTAAGAACATAGTACTTTTGCATTTGGCTTATCGCGAGGGCATGTTCTTGACATGGATTGCATTAAAATCTCCAGATATCTGTCAGCCGTTGAGAGCGGTTGAAATTAAAGACAGAAGTTACGAAAATCAAAAGTCAAGCACGATTCATTAATTAACGTTTATTAGGTAAACAATTGCGACAATCAGTTAAAAGAAGGCGCGATAATGTATTTTGATTTTAAACAATGCTGATAAGGTTTCTGCTAACAGATTAGCTTTTTAAGTATTTGAGAAATCTATTTATACAGCTGTTTGTACTCTATTAAAAAGTCACCAAAATTAGGACTGTAGAGTATATGTTTCAGACGGTAACAGATGGTGGTCAATTTCGGCAATGTTGAATGTTGACAATAAAATTAGACTAATTTTGTTTACTGAATATTGGCTGCGAAATACAAGATACTTACATATAATGAAAAGAATTAACACGAATTTATCACTTTGATAACTCTGCAGGTTGACGAAAGAGCAGTTAGTTTCTTAATTTCGACTTTTCAAATTATAGTTCAAGTATATATATATCACTCCTAGGGTTGGGGCATTCAGTCCCTTCTAGCGGGTCTTATATATGCCCGCATGATGAAAACACAAGCCTATAAAAAGTCTTCGGCATAACCAGTGTTTAAGAGTAGCTATATCATATATAATGGTTCACTTCACCTATAAGCCCGCATCCTCCTGCTGAATAATTTGGCGTGTATTCAATTGGATAATTAATTTTAAGTACATGCAATGACACAAGCGTCCACTCTACTCTACTCTAGTAAATTGTTTTTCCGATATAAAGTTTCAAAAATACTTAGTCGATCTGGTGACTGGTGTTATGCTATATCCAAATTCTGTCGTGCCAGCAAGATTATTAAACAATTACGATTAATTTAAAAATTCAAAAGAGGCCAACAAAGCGAGCAGAACCCATGTCGAGTTTCCCTTTTTAGGTTCGAAGTCTTTTCAAAATGTATCTCTTCCTTGCAAAGCTTGACATTAAACGTTTACTATATTTGGCTAGTGTTGTTCAAATTAATTTGCTGATTCACGAGAGATCGCTGCGAGGCACATTTGTTAATATACCTTAATTGTCGAGAAATATTTGCTAATATACCTTAATTAGCTAAACAATACTTTTAATTTTCACCGATTCAAAAGTCTCGACGCGTACTTCATTATTCGGAATTTTGAGATACATATTATATGATCTAGGTGGTTCTAAACTTTCCATTCGAAGACAATTGAGACTTGAGTGCACGTTCTTAAAAATTCCAAACTATACAAAGATCTTTGTAGAAACATATGCCATGCATGACTTGATGAAATTCAATGATTTCCATTTTCCTACAGGACAGAAACAAAGCGGGCAATATGTCACCAGCAGCGAGATACTAAGTTCGAGTAAGTATTAAACAGCTTTAGCCGATTTAAGTCAATTCACGGCTTTGGGAACACAGCATCTCTGGGTTTTAATCGACTTCCTTATATCTTGCTGTGTACACATGCATGCTGATAATATAGCCTACATTATACCGAGACTATTTTAATCTGGAAAAAACCAACTAAATCTGGCTTAATTGTAAAGTATAGAATTCCGAAAGTGACACCGAGGCTTAGTTACTGCAGACATCATTTGGTATGGTAAACTTGCTCCCTCTCGAAAAGGTTATATGAAACACATGTTGTTTATCTTATAAAAAGATTTATGATATATAGAGATATGTTGCTTTAATGTTCCCTGTAAGTTGCATGACGATAAAAAATTATGTTTTTGTTTAATTAAAGAAAAATGTTTATTTTCTTTCTTTTACAAGGCGGCGTTCCATCAGGGACCGGTCATTGATATTTATGGCGTGGGGTGGTACCGAAGAGAAATGTTTTTCTTAGTTAGAATTTTGCTGACCCAACCATTAAAAAGTCAATTTTTTACCTTTACCTTTTTATCTCAAATATCAAATAAAAAATAAATACACCTCAGAGCAAAAACGTTACAAAAAGATACCATTCAGTTGTCACATATGTCCTTTATCATTTCTGTGACATGAGTTTGATAACTGTTTGTGTAATTTTCTGCGGTCTAAACTCTAAAGTTTCATGTTGTCTGCACATGTATACTTTCTTTGGAAACACACCATTTTCCTCCTGACAAAATGATCAAGACAGTGACTCCATTTACATATTGTATTGACTATATGACTGTTGACATTGCTTTTGAGTCTTCAATATTTGAGTGAGTCGTGCATACTTTGGAAATGACAATACATTTTTACTACCCAACGCTTGAGTTGTTTTGTTTTTCATTTACCCATTGCAACCTTTCACTCACTCAAAGTTTTGTTTACCCACCTTTTTCTCCCGCCATAAGTGACCGATCCCTGGGCCCGTATCTTCATCACATATCCGTGCTTTTTGAACCGTTGCTTCTGTATTTGCCCACTCTTGGAAGAGCTGGGAAAGTTTTAACGGAAACTAAATTTGTTTTCCAGCAAGTAAAATGGTTTCTCGACAAATTCGGAAACATACTTTGTTTCAAAATGGGATTCTTGTTTTTGAAACAATGTTTCCTGGTTTGCCCACCATCAGGAAACATGGCTAGGAAACAATGTTTCCTAGTTTGTCCACTTTCAGGCAACAATGCAACATGGCTGAGAAACAATGTTTCCTGGTTTGTCCACTTTCAAGAAACATGGCTATAGGAAACAATGTTTCCTGGTTTGTCACCCTTCAGGAAACATGTTAGAAAACAATGTTTCCGGCTGGTTTGTCCAGTTCAGGAAACAATGTTTCCTGGTTTGTCCACCTCCTGGAAAAGAAAGAATGTTTCCTGGTTTGTCCACCTTCAGAAAACATGGTTAGGAAACAATGTTTCCGGCTGGTTTGTCCAGTTCAGGAAACAATGTTTCCTGGTTTGTCCACCTTCTGGAAAGGAAATAATGTTTCCTGGTTTGTCCACCTTCAGGAAATATGGTTAGGAAACAATGTTTCCTGGTTTGTCCAGTTCAGGAAACATGGCTAAGAAACGATGTTTCCTGGTTTGTCCACCTTTAGAAAACATGACTACGAAACAAGGTTTCCTGTTTGTTCACCTTCAGGAAACATAGCTAGGAAACAATGTTTCCCAGCTTCTCCACTTCAGGAAACATGGCTAAAAACAATGTTTCCTGGAGTGCCCACCACCATCAGGAAACGTAGCTAGGAAAAAATATTTCCTGGTTTGTTCACCTTCAGGAAACATGGCTAGGAAACTGGTTTGTCCACCTTCAGGAAATGTAGCTAGTAAACAATGACTCCTGATTTGCCCACCTTCAGGAAACAAAGCTAGGGACTTGACAATGTTTCCTGGTTTATTCACCTTCAGCAAACATAGTCCTAATGGTTCCTGGTTTGTCCAGTTCAGGAAACATGGCTAAAAAACAATGTTTCCTGGGTTGCCCACCATCAGGAAACATACTGTAGCTAGGAAACAATTGCCCACCTTCAGAAAACATAGTTAGGAAACAATGTTTCCTGGTTTGTCCACCGTCAGGGAACAATGTTGCTGCAACAATGTGTTCCTTACTAGAGTGGCAATCTTTTCCAAAATTGTACACTAAAGACATTACATTAACTTTGTTTTCTTAGGATGCAGAGACATTGTGGCTGTAGCATACTGCAAAGCAGTCAAAAAGAGTAACCGCTGCAATATACATGCATATAAGAAAAACTGTAAGCTGACATGTGGAGTATGTACCAGGCAATCAGAGTCTTTACCAAGAATTGAAGACAGCACTGGTAATTCGATTTAATTTCTTCATGTCCGCAATTTTTGCTCCGATTTTAGGTGCGATTTTCTTCTTCTGATGGATGTGAACGAGTGGATGAGTTATGGCGTTCAGATGTGAGTAGATATACTCAGAAAACTGTAATAAATACATGTACATACTCGTTCACATGCATCACAAGAAGAAAATCGCACTAGCAGATCAAACTGACGCAGCAAAAAAATCGCAAGTGTATAAACGGGCCTTTTGCGCTCTGAGGATTAAGACCTACACTACAGTCCTTTTAATACGTGCAGCAGATCAAACTGATGTAAATTCTTGTCAGAGTAGCAGATCAAACTGATGTAAATTCTTGTCAGAGTAGCAGATCAAACTGATGTAAACTCTTGTCAGAGTAGTAGATCAAACTGATGTAAATTCTTGTCAGAGTAGCAGATCAAACTGATGTAAATTCCTGTCAGAGCAGCAGATCAAACTGATGTAAATTCTTGTCAGAGTAGTAGATCGAACTGATGTAAATTCTTGTCAGAGCAGCAGATCAAACTGATGTAAATTCTTGTCAGAGCAGTAGATCAAACTGATGTAAATTCTTGTCAGAGTAGCAGATCAAACTGATGTAAATTCTTGTCAGAGTAGCAGATCAAACTGATGTAAATTGGCATTTAGAGCAGTAGATTTTCGAAGTGCGCACTCTGTTTACATCAAAAGAAGAATCTAACTGAGAAGAGCAGTGAATATATAGTTGGTATTTAAAGGAGGAAACAGACGAACTGTTACGAATAATCGGAGAGAGACTCTTCCATCGAAAAACAATTGGGTTTCTAAAAAGGGACGTCTTGTACGGATTGACTTGAATCAATTAGTTGTCGGCGAGACGAGTGATTAGAAGAAAAGGTGACAAAAGAGGAGATATCTAGGTCCTTGAGGCCTTGTTTGCATTTGAAAAAAAGATGAGATCCTTTATTTCAAGCCAGTAAGATATCGGTAATAAGTTAAGCTTCTTAAGGCGCTCAAGATAAGACAACGTAATTTTGAAGTAACTATAAACTTCGTATAGCAAGCTTGCCTCCGAAGAACCTCAATGGCTCAACATGTAGAGCCACGGGGACTGGAGCCTCAAATCTCGCTCGATTTAAGTTTTATTGTTGTCGATTCTTTCATGTGTCGAATCCATTTCAAATGAGTTCAAACAATGGTTCATAAGCACAATGGTTGAACTGGACCTGAATCCTCTTCATTTTATCATTTTCTAGAGTGCAGAGATATCGGAACGAAGGAGTTCTGTATGTCTGTTAAACCAGCTTGTGAGAGACAAAGATATGGAGTGCATCAAAGATCTCGATTTGCTATGAAATACTGTAAGAAGACTTGTGGTCTCTGTACCCCACAACCAACAAAAAAGCCAGGTGCGTTCATTTAGCTCCGCTTTCAAACGTAAGCATATCATTACAACAATAACAGTAATAACGTCATCAACAACGTGCAAATAATATACATTAAAAAAAGAATAAACACAAACAATACAATACAATAAAACAGCAACATAACAACAACAACAATGTACAACAACAATGTACAACAACAACAACAACAACAACAACAACAACGTACAACAACAACGTACAACAACAACAACGTACAACAACGTACAACAACAACAACGTACAACAACAACAACGTACAACAACAACAACGTACAACAACAACAACAACAACAACGTACAACGGACAACGGACAACGACAACGGACAACGACAAATAACAACAACGACAACAACAACAACAACAACAACAACAACAACAACGTACAACGTACAACGTACAACGTACAACGTACAACAACAACAACAACAACAACAACAACAACAACAACAACAACAACAACAACAACAACAACGTACAACAACAACGTACAACAACAACAACAACAACGTACAACGTACAACGTACAACAACAACAACGTACAACAACAACAACAACAACGTACAACGTACAACGTACAACGACAACGGACAACAGACAACGACAACGGACGACGACAAACAACAACAACGTACAACGTACAACGACAACGGACAACGACAAACAACAACAACAACAACAACAACAACAACAACAACAACAATAACAACGTACAACGGACAACGACAACGGACAACGACAAACAACAACAACGACAAATAACAACAACGACAAACAACAACAACGACAAACAACAACAACGACAAACAACAACAACAACAACAACAACAACTACAACAACAACAACAGCAACGCCAAAGCATCTAACAAGAACATTCACAACAATAAACTACAAAACAACAAGCGACCATAAAAATATAGACAATGCAAATGCAACTTACTGTATGTTATTATTCTCTGTAGAAATTACCTGTGTGGACAGACCTATCTGTCAAAAACTTACTGTATTCTACAAAATCAAGAGTTGCAGTACATTACCACATCAACTCAGAAAACGTGCAATGAGAAAGTGTCCGAAACTTTGTGGATTGTGTGTGGTTGCAGAGGAAAACGAGCCTGAAGGTAAGCATGTATTTGTGTATGGAGACGAGGATCGAGAAGTGTATTTTTGGATTTGTAGAGATTTTTAGAGATTCATAGGAATTTTCAGGGATTTGTTTCCAAGGTGTACGAGATTTTTTTTAATGATATAGCCCTCGTATGAAATCTCAATAACCAATTTCAGCCTGGCCGTGTTGTATGAGATGAACAAAGACGAGTATTTGTTTATCTTACACGCAACACGTACGGAACTCGTGATTCCTCTTGATGATAAAGTTCATTAAGACATGAATGGTATAAAAATGAACTTGTATTTCGTAATTAAACCAGTTAGGCTACAACTTCAGTGAAACAGAAAACCCCTGAACCAACGAAATCTTCACAGCAAACTTTGCAACAACGGTTTTATAAACTTAAAAATGCTTTTCCAAAAATCTTTTCTTGATCACCAGAGGTTTCAAATTGAATTTTAACGACTAACGCTAGTCCAGCTTTAAATAATGGCACCCAGAATTTTGAGGTACATATACAAGATCCTTCACAGCATCTATGTTCACAGTCATGATTTCCTTTGAGTATTTCATGACTCAGAGAAATGCTACAAGGTATTACATTAACTTTTTCCATTTGCAGTTGCACTAGCGAAGCGGCCTGTGGTAGACATTGTCGAGACCCCCACATCTCAAACCATCACAACTTCAAACAACCGAAATCGACCACCTCATCCACCGATTGAGAACCGAGAGACTGACAACGAACCACGAAGAGGAGTGTTTTATATCTACACTAAATATCTATCGCTTTAAGTCTAAGAAATCGAGTTTAGAAGGCTGAGATCGAAGTATAGTGGCTAGGCTTTCCCAAAGGACCGTTCAAAATGGATTCAACTGAATATTTAAAGATCTTAAAAATAGTTAAAGTGCATATGACATGAAATTTATTATTTTTTTAAATGAAAGAACTCTTTAAGCTGTAGTGTAACTTATATTTCAGTTTCTTGTTTTTCTTTGTTTGTTCCCGAGATATTTCAATTTGTTTGATATGTAAATGAGTGTGAATATGTCCGCTAATTTATGACGTCACGTTGGTTGCAAGCTCAACTTACACTGGTTATAAATCTATTAACTCTAAAAACTGAAAATATCAGTTCACGTTTTTCTCCAGTGTTTCATCACATTTACCAGTGAGGGAAGTTTGAAGTTATCATCTTGGATGATAGCAGTGATATTCAACCATTTTGAGGAGCTTGCAACCAACGTGACGTCATAAATTAGCGGACATAATCACACTCATTTACATGTCAAACAAATTGAAATATCTCGGGAACAAACCATAAAAACAAGAAACTGAAATATAAGTTACACTACAGCTTAAAGAGTTCTTTCATTTAAGATAATAATAAATTTCATGTCATATGCACTTTAAAAGAACGAAATATAGCAAGGACAATGTGGAAAACCGCATCAAAAAGAGACATGACGTAAATAGGTATATAAACTTAGAGCCAGAATCAGTATGTTGGATATTTCGAATTAAACTCATCCTAGTACTTTAAATATGTTAATGTTAGAAAGCAGTGGTTGCTAGTCTCGAACTGGTTTTCCATTTGCGAATTGGCGCGCACGGAGAGGACAATAGTATTGTTTAAATTGAAAAAAGTCGGGAGATTCATTATATAGTAGAGAGTGAGATACTGAAAAAAAAACACAGTGAGATATTTTCCATATCTTCACTATGAAGATATCGATCACGTGACTTTTTACAATTTGCTTTTGGGCGTGAAATTTCACAATTTTTTGCTTGGGACTATATAATAAACAGAATATTACACGGTGGCTTGAAGATGACTTTTATCTTCTCGTGTTAAAAACCATATTTTACTCACTCGCTGCGCTCGTTCGTAAAATATTGTTTTCACCACTCGAAGATAAAAGTCGTATCTTCGCGCCGCCGTGTAATATCCTATATATATATATATATATATATATATATATATATATATATATATATATATATATATATATATATATATATATATATATTTCGGAATGTGAAATTCAACTAATTTAAAAACATTAAAAAATTAAAAACTAAGTTCATTTACTCGAGTTTCACGCCTATATTGGCGATCATATATATATATATATATATATATATATATATATATATATATATATATATATATATATATATATATATATATAGTATATATATATATATAGTGTATAATATATATATAGTGTATAATATATATATATATATATATATATATATATATATATATATATATATATATATATATATATATATATATATATATATATATATATATATATATGTTCTTAATATATATATATATATATATATATATATATATGCATGTAGTGACTCAAAATTTTGAGTAAGATTACAGAAATTTATGAGCAAATGGTTATGGAATCTGGCTAATGTTTTTTCGCATGAATGCAGAGCACCTGAACAGTGAGCAAAAAACAGTTCATCGGATGCCAAAAGCAACAATTATACAGAATCATCAGTACAGACGAATTATGGGAATTATTGCTAAGGAAATATCCCACGACGTTGAACAATTATACAGAATCATCAGTACAGACGAATTATGGGAATTATTGCTAAGGAAATATTCCACGACGTTCACGTCGAATTGTTGGTCTCTATTAAGCATGTATAATACATGTACTGTATAACACATGTATACTGCAGTTAAATGGTGGAAATTCTTCATGATTATATATTGCTCAATCGTCATGGCACATTGTGGCCCCATTGTGTTCGACGTGGCCTTTTCACGTGAGAACTGTTCCAATTCCAGATATGAAATAATAAATATGTAAAACTGAACGTTCACATATGAACTTTACATTCACTTCTAAAAGAATTTGGGAAACTCAAATTTGACATGTGAAAATTCTGAATTTCAGATATGAAATGATCAACTTCACGTGTGAAATTTCCAATCCAGCCACACAAAATTTCACATGAATGTGAAATGATACGTAAAATGTCAACAAGGTTATAAGGTTATTTCAAAGAAACACCTAAAGGTTAAACCTCTGTAAATACAGCCAAATGTTTTTAAAAAATAAAACCACAGGTGTTTTATCCTGCAGTTTATTTCTAATTAATAGACATCATGATCAGTTTACCCACTGTGCAAGTATATACAAAGGTAATAATTATATAGTATAGTATTTCAGTCCCTTATGCATGGAAATTTCACATGAAAATGCTGATTCTCAGTTGAGTCTCTGAAAAAGTGAAATTTGAGTTTCAAATATTCTTTCACATGTAAAAATAAAGGTAAAATTCATATGTGAAAACAGTTAATTTCACATGTGAAATGATTATTTAACATGAGAAATTAATATTTAACTTGTGAAATTATTGTTTCACATGTGAGATTATTATTTCACATGTGAAATTGTGTTTCATAATCATATGTGAAATTGCAACAGATAAGAAATTGATTCAGATAAGAAAAGCTTGTATTACCAAAACCGCGGAAAATAACGTGCGATGTTTTCGTGTCAAAACAAGAATGCGACCGCATGCCTATAACGTCGTGAAATCCACATCGTGGGAATGGCGACGTCTTATTGGTCCGTGAGGTAGCTAAACAGCTTCACATTTTAACAATAATGGTAAGAATTCGTCGCATTCCTAAATGTTTTGACACGATACATGACGTTTTTCTGGTAAAACGAAACATCCACGCTTTTGGTAATACCACAGTTAACATCATCTAAAGTTCATTGCCGGTTTATCCCCGAGCCAACGGCGCGGAGCGCCGTTCCGGGCGTAAGCCCGGGGCGAGGGTACTAATTCCCCTCGGCTATTTACACCCAGAAAACGAAAGCATTAGCGAAGTCTAAAGTTCATCAATGATCGCGGGCGTGACCAACGATCTTGAGTGGGTGGTCATCTTCACCGTCCTCACTGATCTCAAAAATATGGCTGATTGCTTGTGGGAGTGGGATAAGCAAGGTTTCAATTTTAAAAGACATATATTTTGAAAATCGTTTCATATACAACAAGCTTGAAGCAATTTTGTTTGAAGAAATGAGAATAATTGATTTACCATGGGAAATCGTGACATATACGTCAAGTTTGCTTTGAATATTTAATGTTTACGAATTTTGTTGCTTTAACTTTTTGCCTAAAAACATGAACTGTTTTCCTTTTCAACGAAGCTCTAAGACTAAGTTTCATAAATTACCGTTTAATTTAATTTGAGAAAAAATCTTAAAATGTAAAGGCGAACAAATTGATTTGAAGACTGAACTGAAATTACTTAACAATTTGTTTTATTTGTATTAAACTTATTATGTTTTACTACTGAAGTAAAAACAGTTTATCGGCAAAATGTAGTTTAGTTGAATGAACATTTCAAAACATTTTACGAAGCGTTTCAAGTTAAATTTTACATTAAATCAAAGCTCAGTGAATGCAAAATAATATACCTACAGTATATATTTCGGAAATTTATTGTTGTATAGTTAAAAGTACGAATCTTTCAACTATTTTGCAGTTTTGTACAAAAAATATGAAAAAAATCAAAAAATTAAACTATTAAAGAATTTCGTGTTGTCATGGCAACATTTGAGCGCGAGCCTGCGTTCAGTGTTGGTCATTTCTGAATACTTCATGTTAATTTAATGTTTGGAAAATATGGCCAGGGGTTACTTACGGAGCCCTGGAGGGGCCATCAATGAAAACACAAACTTTTTTGAGAGAAAAAACACAAACTTTTTTTGGAAAAAAAAACACAAACTTTTTTGGGGAAAAAAACAAACTTTTTTTGGAAAAAACTGACACAAACTTTTTTGGGGACAAAAAGTTTTAGTTTTTAAAGAGTAAACTGCTTATTAATAAAGGACATGCATAAAATGAAAAATTTTTAGATTAAAGGTACATCAATTTTGATTATACTGAAACAACTGCATTGAATTCACTGCAAAAAAGACTTAAGTATTTTGACTCAAAAACACAGTTAACGCATTCACAGTAACTTTGAGTAAAACTACTTAAAGGTGATCTACAATCCGATCTGCGCATGTGCACAAACGAGCCCACTTTTTATGATACAAACAGTTTAACTATGTTTTGGGTTCTTTCAAAGACTGATTGTTGTTTCTTGATCATTTATTATACTCTAGAAGCTTGAAAATATAAATAGTTGTTGAATAAAGCTCAATATTTTGGACGCAAAAATGTAAACAAAGGCTTTGTTTACATACGGACTGTAGATCACCTTTAAATTTATGAACAAATTTACTCAATTTTTCAAGTGTAGTGAACGCAACCATGATATGACTCAAAGTTATGAGCAAATCTAAACTTTACTCGAAATGTGAGTAAAAAGTAGCTTTGTTCAATTGTTTAGAAATGTACTGTAACTCTTCACTCGAGCTCAAGTTGCCGGCATAAAGGAAACTCAATTTTTTAGTAGAGTAAATACCCACACAGTGACTCAAGTTGTTGAGAAAATTAACTCCGAACTCAAACTGTGAGTAAAAATGTCCTCAATTGACAACTTCGCAAGTAAAGTGACGCAAACTAAAGTGACTCAACTATCACGATTGTCAGTCAATTTACTCAAATTGTAAAAATTAATTAAGTAAAAATTACTAAATTTTTGAGTTAAGTAAATACACACCCATGCACAGTGACTCAATTCTTTTAGTAAAGTGTGCATGGGCGTGCTTTTTTTGCAGTGCAATTGTAATTTTTAGAGCACATTAATTTTGATTAAAAAACATGTAATGAAGTAATAGTATCAATTTTAGAGTACAGTTATATCAATCAGAAGTGAAGAACACAAGAACATTGTTTATTACAGCAGTTTCACGAAATACGCGACCACCTCAAGCAAAAAGTTTGAGAGCAATAGTTGTTTCTGACATTTAGGGGCGGTCACTAATTCAAAATCGGAAACGTCAACAGACTCACGTTGCGTCTATTTATAAAACAAGACGCCTCCTCAGGCGTTCACACCGGCCTCGCGGTTGGTAAAGTACCATCGCAATATTCAAAAAAATAATTTGAAACATGTAGATGTCCTTCACTTCTTGACGGCCGTCACTTCATGATCACAAACATTCAGAGGACGGCACAATAAAAATCCATACAAAACCAATAGAGTTCAGCGATATCATATGGAAAAACACAGAAAAGTTCAAGCGCATGCGCAATGAAATATAATATAATAAAATACGTCCCACAATTACAGCGTCTAAGATTTGTAACGTCGTTAAATACGAAATTCGTTACCGAGGAATTTGGGAACGTTTAGTATTGATTATGCCTACCACAGCCTCATTGTCACAATGAAATTTTATGCGTTGATCAACGAGTACCTCACCCCAGATTTGACATGCAACAACTATGGCAAAGAGCTCTTGCCATAATATACTTATACCGGGCTGACCTAATTTTTGGTGTGGACGCCTGAAAAATATAACTGCAGAACTTCGATGTTTCGAGTCGACAAGTGCATGGTAGCGGTAGGGAAGTCAAAACTGAACCTCTCAGTTATCGGTCGTGTATGCATGACCGCTAATTGCACAGAAAAATGTTGTTGAGCTGCATTAATTAATTCCGTCGGTTCAGCCAAGAATTTCCCCGCGCTTTTTGTTTTGCGTTGCTTTGACTTACAGTATTATCTCATACCTAGCGTATTAGCGGCTTTCCTATTGGTTACGAGGAGTCAAGGAGGTGCGTTCAATCTCGAACCCACCTGCTGACGTATGTTTAGGAGGTGCGTTCGAGATCGATGTTTCGGTGGCGGCCATTATGAAGCGAATTGAACAAATTTCAGACGAAGATTTAAATAAAAAATAAATGAGCTGTTTTTGTTTTATAATTATTCTTTTTTTATTTTGTTTGATGAAAATGGAATATTCTGTATTCAAAGTGGAAGAGAAGAAAGATGGCCGCCGAAAT